TTAAGATAATTCTGTGAAGTTTGGTAAGAAACGGAATCCGTTTGACGTGATTCAGACCTAAATTGCAAAAGTTGATGTTTTAAGAAGTTTGAAATATTTCATTGATTTTGAGGTTTAATTCGTTGTTATTTTGGCGATTTGATCGCACGGATAAGTCCGTATGATGTTATTGAGTTAGTACGTATGTTTGGTTTTGAGCCCCGAGGGCTTGGGTGTGTTTCGGATGTGTTTCGAAAGGTTTTTGGAACTCAAAAAGTTACAGGTTTCTGCTGTTCAGTGCCCAGGGATTTTACTCTTCGTGCTCGCGTGGACCCTCTCGCGAACGCGTAAGGCAAATCTCCCAGGTGCCAGATTTCTTCTTCGCGAACGCGAAGCTTGAGACGCAAACACGAGGCTGAGGGGGGGAAGACCCTTCGCGAACGCGTCCATGCACACGCGAACGCGTAAGGTAAGGGCCTGGGGAGGGGTCACCATTTTGTGCATCGCGAACGCGAGCCGTCTTCTGCGAACGCGATAGTCTGTCAGACCTAACTCATCGCGAACACGGTGAACTTATCGCGAACGCGATGACCAAATCCGTCCAGTTATTTTAAAAGTCCAGAAAATAGTAGCCATTACGGGATTTCTTCCAAAACTCATAACTTCTTCACCTAAACTCCAAATTGGGCGATTTTTGAAAGGGGATTTCACCACCAATTCATAGGTATGTAATCTTAGACTCATTTTCTTCAATTTTCATTAATCCATTAGATTTCTAGGCTTAAATCATGTTCTTAAGGGTAGAAAATTAGGAATTTGGGTAGAGTTAGGGCTTTTTTATTATTTGTGATAGACCTCGTTTTGGGATCGAATTTTGGAATAAATTATATATTTGGGCTCGTGGGTGAATGGGTGATCGAGTTTTGGTCCGAACCTCGTGTTTCGACCAAGCGGGCCCGGTCAATTTTTAACTTTTGGAAAGAATGATTAGAAAGCTATAATTAAGTATTGGAATTGGATTATTTAGCATATATTGATGTTATTAAGTCGATTATGTATAGATACAATTGATTTGGAGCCGAATTCGAAAGGAAAAGCAGTATTTGAGGATTGAGTTGGCCGTGGAAATTCGAGGTAAGTGTTCGGTCTAACCTTAGCTTGAGGGATTAGGAGTTGAGTCCTATTTGCTATTTGCTTCTTGTTGAGTACGGCGTATAGGCATGGTGATGAGTATCTATACGTTGGTATCGAGCATGACCGTGAGTCTTAAATTGATATTGTTGTGTTCTTAAATGATACTACGGATGCTTAAAATGATAATTCTCGAGATTGAGCAAAGATTAACTCTGTTTACGTGGAAAATTTCTTATGGTTGAGTATTGGTGTTAGTTGAGATGAGTAGGAGTTGAGTTAAGATTGGTTATAACTGATTCTCCCTTGCCGGGACGTATTTACTATTATTGTCGAATCCCTTGCCGGGATAGTGTAGTTTATTGTTCATCCCTTGCCGGGATCTTTGGTATGATTGTTGCTAAAGGAATATAAAAATATGGATCGGGTTGCACGCCGTAACAATACTATATATATATATATATATATATATATATATATATATATATGGATCGGGTTGCACGCCGCAACAATATAAAATATGGATCGGGTTGCACGCCGCAACAAATGTTATAATGGATCGGGTTGCACGCCGCAACAAATGTTATATTGGATCGGGTTGCACGCCGCAACAGTGTTAAATGATAAGGGATCGGGTTGCGCGCCGCAACAGTATTATTATTGATTTGTTGTAGATTCTGAGTTGTTCTCTCATATTTCTCTTAAGTTCCTGCTGGGTTTGACATTTTCCCCGTAGCGTGTACCCCCTCCCATTTAAATTGTTTATTCCTGTTTATTTTTTCGCTTTATATTATATAACTGCACAAGTTTATCTGGCGTCTGGTGCTAGCCAGACACTTAACAGCACATGGGGTCGGTTGTGCTGGTGCTACACTCTGCACTATGTGCAGATTTCGGAGCAGCATTTGGGCAGTAGCATTTGGGGAGCCAGCCTTCAGTCCAGCCAGAGAGCCGAGGTAGTCCTGCAGGCGTCCGCAGGCCCGGCGTTCTCTTCTATCTATTTATATGTTCTGATTTCACTTGTTTCCGAGACAGACTGTATTTCCTTTTCCAGACATTGTATGTAGCACTCATAGACAGCCCGTGGATATTGTGACAACAGTTTCTGGGTAGAGGCATATATTGGTATTCTTGTACTGATTTTGGTATTTAACTTGACTAAGTCTTCCGCTTGATTTCATCTTTCGCTATTATTTTAATGTTGATCACCTATTAATTTAAGTTGTTAAAAAGGACTAAAATGAATGAGTTAGAATTTCTACATATCGTGGCTTGCCTAGCTTCTACGTAGGCGCCATCACGACCCCCGAGGATGGGAAATTCGGGTCGTGACAGTGTGGTACTATATTCTTTCTTCAATGTTTGAATTTAATTTTTTACCACTTGTCTGAATATATATGTGAGCTGATCCGGGCCTGTGAGTCAGCTACCGGTTCAAGTCCGATCCTGTTCAGTGGATCAAAATATTATAGCCCGGCCCGGGCCCCTTAAATTAATGGGTTGGTCCAATTAGGATTTTGTGGGTCATGGGCCGATTAAAGGGTCAATTTTAATGGGTCATATGAGCCGGTTCGTAGATCGACCCAACCCGTTTGACAGGTCTAATTTTAAAGGTCGCCTCACACAAATGCAAGTTCCAACTTTATATTTTAAAACATTTGTTTAACCTATGGTGTTATTTAGTTTATCTTAGAAAATTCGGATAATTTGCAGTTTTGTAATTGGAATGAATAAAAGGGGAAAAGTAGAAGATAATTTCCTAGATGGAAGCAAGAAGGAAGCGAGAACCCTTATATAGGATTCTTAACCCTAATATAGAGTTAAGAATTTTTTATTTTAATAATGAGGTTTCAAAAAAGAAGAGTTTTTGGTTTTGGAAAGTAAAATAATTCATTGGACTCTAAGTCTCTAACACAATAATATGTAACTAAAAGATCCATTAGTTAATATATAATTTTTTATTGATTTCTGTTCTATTTTATATTTCTCTACATTTATTTTCTTGAACTATTTTAATAATGAACGAAAGAAAGCGGAGAAACGAAGAAGTGGTTATAAAAAAAGGGATTTTTTTCTAACTATACCATATATGAAACCTTATTATCAAAAATGTGCATAATTTGTTAATTACCCGCCCAGTCCACACTTTAATTACAATTTATATACCAATCCATAATTAGGCAGATTCTGCCATTTAAAACGCGCGAAAAAAAAAAGCACAAAATCTGCGTTTGATTCTTTCCACGTTAAATTCGAAATTTGAAACGGAAAGAGATCTGATTGCTGCGTTATTCTCTCTTTCACTACAATTCAAAAACAACATAGAGCTTCAGAAGCTTCAACAACGCAATACAAATTGTAGAATTCAAAATTGTTCTTCATCGTCCTCAGTACTCAAATTGTCGAACCTATATCTGTTCTTCATCTTTTTTCTCTCAACTACACGAAATCATGTCAAAAATCCCAATAATGCTAAAATTATTTAACATTAGTAGACTGCATAAAAAAGAAGCAGTAATCTACATATAACTACACAATAACTACAAAATATAACTTAAAAAAGAACAGCCTACCCACACCTATAACTACAAAACACTACAGGACATCGTCCTCAGTACTCAAATTGTCGAACCTATATTTGTTCTTCATCTTTTTTCTCTCAACTACACGAAATCATGTCAAAAATTCCAATAATGCCAAAATTATTTAACATTAGTAGACTGCATAAAAAAGAAGCAGTAATCTACATATAACTACACAATAACTACAAAATATAACTTAAAAAAGAACAGCCTACCCACACCTATAACTACAAAATACTACACGACATCTACACATGTAAACGTTATCTCCAAACATGAAGGAAGAAAAAGGTAACCACAGCTCTATAACTACAAAAATATAACAGTTAGTTCAAGTAACTCACAAAATGTAGATTAATTGTAGTTAGTATGAAGGTAAATGTAGCAGCATACAAAAAGTGAAAAAATATACCTTAACCCACACTTATCTACAATTTACCCAAATAACTACAAAACAACTACAAAATAACTACAACTATGAACTGTCTAAAAATCACAATTACAACTAATCTACAAAATCGTCATCTTCACACAACTCTTTCCCCTTTCGTTTTAGTTGTTTCGCGACTGGTTTAGCACCTCCACCAGCATCAACATCGTGCAATAGCTTGGTTCTCATCTCCGCACGGATTTGTCTAGGAGATGAAATGTTAGTAGTAGGTTCACTTGCATGTGTAGATTTTGCTTTTTTTGGTGGTGATTTTGGTGTTAAAACACCCAAATCAAAAGATGGGATATCAGCTAATGTGGATTTTGAAGGTTTTTTTTGGGAGTGTTGATGTTTTTCATGATTTGGGAGAAAGATTACTTCAACTTGAATCAGATGGAACTTCAAATTGGGATTTTGTGAAATTAAATAGAGAAAAAATTGTAGAATCGTGGGTCTGTAGAGGACAACTGATGGTAAACGTGAGGTAGTGAAGGTAAAACGTGGGGGGTGTGGGAGGGAAGGGGGGAGGAGAGAGAGGCGGGTAAAGGTAAATGTGAGAATATACGCTCCTAAATTAACGCCTAATATAAATGAAGCATTAATTATACCCCTAATTTGAATTATGGTATATAAATGGTAATTTGGTATGCTGAAATGTAATTAACACAAACGTTAAACATTGAGGGTAATAAGATTTCATATATGGTATAGGAAGGTAAAAATCCCAAAAAAAAAAAAAAAAATCACCATAGGACTCGCCAAACATGGCAGTATTCTTTGAGTGGTCTTTGATTATGTATCAAGTGCCCGGGTCTGGGATCTCAACTTTCCGGGTTAACCCGACATCTCTAATTACCAAAAGCCCTATAAAAGCCCTAAGCACTTGTATATTCGATCTTTTTTTTCTTTTTCAGCAAGTTAGCCCCGTGGAAACAGGTAAATTCGACCGTTGTATTTGAACTCTGAAAATAAGCTGACAGTTCATTTTCATTATAATTGATGGGTTTATTACTAAATTTTGCTCTAATTTCCACTAATTTTGAGTTTATTTGTTTGTCGTAACCCAGAGTGAAATTTTGCGTCGTTTGTGTGGACCGGAGAATGAGTTGAGGTGATAATGAGTAGACTCTCATTTAGGCCGCGCCCTCTTGACATTCACAAGAAGTTACCTATTCTAAAATCTGTAAAGGATTTTGAGGATGATGATACGCCGTCTAATACTCGCAATCATATCATTCGTCTCGCTGCTGAAGCTGCTGATGTTGAGGTTTGCTCAAACTCAAGTTTTGATATTTTACCGCATTCGTGTTTTTATTGGATTGTTATTGCAGTATGGTTTGACATGTGTATGTTTTTAAATTGTATATAGCAGTTATGTTTAGTGTTGACATTGTGGCCTCAGTATTTGAAGATGAACGCTCTAGAGAAGTATATTTGAGCTATGCAGATGAAATGACTGTTTACGTATCTCTCTGCCCAAGCCTAAGTGGGTAGAGTTATCCGGTACCTGTACTGGTGGGAGGTAGTAGGTACCCGGTGAAATAATCGGGGTGTGCGCTAGTTGGCCTGGACACCACCATCACAAAAAAGAAGGCAATTTAGGTCTCTTTTTCTTCCTTAATATTGAGGCAGATCATGTCTATTAGGAAGATGCATATAACGAACATTAGCTTTTCATTTGTTCTGTGAATTTTCATAGCCCAGTGATCTATATTTGAGTTGTGCAGATGAAATGACGGGTTAGGTCTCTATTTTCTTTCTCAATATTGAGAAGATCATGCAGATATTATCTATTAGAAGGATGCAATATATGAGCACTGAGTTTTTCATTTTTTCTGTGAAATTTTTGTCCTGGTGATCTTTACTTTGTTGATAAATTATGGATAACAATGCCAATGTCCCTAATTCTTCAATGTTTTTTGTTTTTGGCTCCAAGAATAATTTCTTGACTAATATGTATGTGCTAATATAATTTTCATGCTTTGGTTAAACAAAGGGGAATATTTTTGGTATTTTATTTTCCCTCTTATTGGAAGTATAATGCATACCATGCAACTCAGTTTTTTTTAAGCATGAATAGTTTAGACTTCTCTTTGTTAGATTAGAAGGTAATAATTGGCAGCTTTGGCTGAATTAACAGGATTCTTAGTTTTGGAACTGAAATCAGAAAGTTTTACTACATTTTTGGAACATACGCTCAAAACAATATTTTCTAGCACAAATTTGTGATAAGATAAGTTATGATGCTCAAGAAAGACTAAAGCTTGTATGACAGTGTGTTTCATGGGTTCTATTGGTGTTGTGTACTTAATACTTATCTTGTTAGATCAAGCTGATGACTATATATAGGTATCGGTTAACATAGAGGGTTCTGGTTTTATCAGGCACATTGGTGAACATATCCAAGAAAGGTAGGAATTCCATTTCATTAAACTAAGAGATGTTCTCCAAGTTGCTTAAGAGATGCATACCTATGGACTTAGTGGTTTTTAGATTAGCATCTGATATGCTGTTCTGTTTTAGTTGTTTCTATTTCTAAGTCTTATTTGCACAACTGTCTTCAAGGGAAACCCCCTTTATACTGCCTTTTCGGTTTTGTTGGTCTCTAATTAAAATAGGAGATTCTATAAGTTATCATAAGTCTCCTCATTCTATAAATGGGCAGTAGTCATTGATGGTTTAGTATTTTTTTTTTTTTGGGTCAGTGTTACTGATGGTTTAGTATTATTGAATGAACAAAAGTATGAGCCAACTGCCAAGCGGTTTACTTGCTTGATAAGGCTTCCTTCTTTCATTTTGAATGATGAAGCATGAACGTGAACTGTCGCTCCTATCATTTTGTGGTTTTCTTTAAGAGATGGAGAAATCTTTGGGATTGTAAAGTACTTGTTGTAAGAATTTAAAGGTCTTGATGGTTTTAGGTGAGATTGAGAATCCCTATTTCCCCTAATCGAATCCTTCAGCCATCTTTGGTGTGAAAGCATTTTTGGGTGAAGTTCATTGTGCGACACACTAAGGTGCAAAGTCTACTACAATGGGTATAATCAAATATTTTGATATGTTTAACCTATTCTACTTTTGAAGCACCAGGAAACAAGGTGAATGATTTTTAGTTCAATCAATGATGAATATTTCGAGAAAATGACTTGTGATCATTTAAGAGTTTCCCCAATTGTTTCTTCCCAGGAAGTGACTCAGCCATAGCCATAAAGCTGGTATATATCCTAAAGACTAGAAGGATAATTTGAGATGTTAAAGTCATGTTGCTGTGCACTACACTCGACTACGTCGGGGAATGGCCATCTGTTTTTAAGTGAGAGGGGAAAATAGATATTCAATAATCCATTTTGGTTTCCTTATATTTTAGACGCGATCAGCTTACCTACAAAAGTCCACTTGTCCTTTTATTTTTATATTTGTTTTGTTTTTGTAATTATTAATAAAGAAATCTTAACAATTATTTATTTTTTTCCATTTTGAGGAAACAGTTCTTGCTTTAAACTTGCACTGGAAGTTATATACTAGGATCGTAGAATATTTTTGAAACTGTGAAGTTTATGGTGCAGAATAAGATGTGGAATTTAGGCTTAATATCTGGATAAGTTGTATTTAAAGCTAAACTGATTTTGCTGGAAAAACTTATTGCTTAGGTACAACAGACTTCTAGCAAGAAGTTGGTTCCTGAAATACCTATACCTGAGTATGTGGTGGTGGATACATATGAAAGAGATTATTCACGCACTTTTGCTCAGCCAACATCTTATATACACGCTAGAGGAGGTATGTGAAGAACATGGCTAGTATTTTTATTTTACTTCAAAGTTGATAATAACTTATGAAACTTTATCAAATTAACTATAGCCCGGGCCGAGATTGGAGAATTTGTTGAGTACGATCTTGACAATGAGGATGAAGATTGGCTTCAAGACATAAACAGAGAGAGAAAAGCTCTTGCAGCTGAAAAGTAAAAATCATACTGGATATCCTACATGTATATCGTGTTATGTTCACTGTCCATTTAATTGGTTTGGCAGTTTTTTTAACTCAAATAATGTACTTTGAATGATTACTGTCTGTTTCTTCCTTATACTTGGTCTTTCTTTTTTTTCTTTTTGAATGAACGCATATATTACACTGTTTAAGATTGTTTCTCCGGAAATGGTGAATTCTGGTACTTGTAACTATTCATTCAGTTAAAAGAAGTTAGACCTGCTAAAACCTATCCAAGGATTATGGATGTGGATATATTTTACTGTATCTTATCCAAAACCAAAAAGAAAAGGATTATGGATATTTTCTGTGCAGGTTCCATTATAGGCGGTAACTCATCAGGCTCTAATCACGCGTATGACCATGACAACAGAGCTTAGGCAACCTACAAATCAATATTTAAGGAGGAAAATAGGAGATAGAATGATGCCATTATATATCCATATAACAACTCCTTAAGCTATACATTAGCAAATTAAAGTGCTGCATAGATAGTTGCTAATAATTCATGAAAGCCCAATTTTTAGGAAAAGCGACTCTTTTCTGATCTTGCCATTGTTGCCTGAAGTGCTCCAGTGTGCATCGATAGTGAAACCTGACTTTACTTTTTGATGCTTTAAACCACATTGGCACTCAAGCCAGTCTTGTGGTATCTTTACCAGGCTCTGGAGGACAAAGCTTGTGAAGACAATCACAACATGTTATATGGCATGGATGAGCAAAAGCTCATGATTCTTGTGATCTTCTTAGGTTACCTACCTTGACCTTGTCATGATCAATAGTCTTCTGCTCATTGTCTGGCAGTCCGTATCTATTTGCTATAAGTGGTTCATCCATTTTCTAACCTGATTTTTAACTAAATGTGAGGTACTATTTCTGATATGTCGAAAACTTGTTTGTCACTAGCTCGTTTTCCTTTCTTGAGTTTCATCAGCTCTAGCAGCATAGAATGCTTTCTTTCGTTGGTCTATCCTTACAATTTCTCCTAGAGTTCGCTAAGTAACAGACCAGGCTATTTCTTTTTGAGCTTTTCTTTTGTCCTTGTTGCTCTCCAACTCAGTTGGAGTACTATGCACCATTCCCTCAAACTGCTCTCATTCCCCCTCAATACTATATTATCTAATCATTATTCTGTATTTGCTCCAACTTTTTGCTTTCATCTGTAGGAGTTTCACTAGATATCTTTTTTTCCCCTAACCAATCGTATAAACCTTGTTCATGATTTGAATTTTGGATAGCTTATCCTGACATTATTTGTTGCCTGATATAGGCTGGAGACTATTCTGCACAAATTAGAGGTTTTAGATCACAAGGCCCGAGAAAGAGCAGGAGTGATTACTCCTACTCTTGGCTCACCTATCCCGGTGATCCTAAGTTTTGATGCTGCTGTTGAGGTGAAAATAGCTCTGCTTAATCTGTGTCTTTAGCTGGTTTTACTTTGACCTTTTTGTTGCTTTGTTTTGTTATCCAAAAGAGTCTCCTTTAGAGTAGTTGATACTGTTGTTCTGGTATTAAGTTCATCTTTTTGTTGTTAGTGTGGGCTTTGTAGAGAACATGTGTTCATTATTTTTGTTTACCTCTTACGCTACCTGCAAGAATGCAACAAACTTCTTAGTGGCATGTGTCACATGATCAGATGAAGAACCAAAACCATTCCCTTCTTTTTCTAGACCTGCTTTTGTTTCTTGACTAAGTGATGCGATGAACTACATAATCTTAAGGGGTGCATGGGGGTATTTTCAAGAGTCATCATGGGTAATAGTTTTCTAGTGCCAGATAATGTCTTTTAGTTGTTTGGTTCATTGGAACTTTTTACTGTCAAGTTGAAACTTGCCATGTTCCGGTATGCTTTTTGTCAGGTCAATGGAAAGGGATGACATCTTTAATAGGAGATGTCTGAAAATTACTGCTTCACTGGGAAGCATTAGTTTGCAACTTATGTCAATGTATTGAATATGTGTATTCTTCAAGTATGGGGCAACCTTATGTGGGGAAGTATTTTTGTTTCTTCAGTTCCAAACACATAACATGTAGAAGAGCTTTCTGCTTATTGCGTGATCCTAGTTCTGGATGACATGACTGATTTTCTTTCATGATACTGTTTTGCTTCTCTGAGTGTGTTGCAATTCGGTAGTCTTACTTATTTTTTGAAGAGTTGGCTTGCGTTGAGTCTAATTGTTCATCTTTCTTTCTTTCTTTTTCCTGAAATCTAGGCACTGCAATCTCTAACAATCAAATATGGAGTTTTCCAGTCAGTTTATACTTACTGGAAAGACAAGGTACCAATCCCTCACCAATTTATTATGTGTGGTTTAACGACACCATTTTATGTTGTGTAATTCGATGAAGACAGTAAATATTTGAGAGATCATCGATGTTGGTATTGGAACAGATATTTGTATGCATACAAGAAAGAAGTTCCTCTCCACTTATTCTTATATTAGTAAGATCATTTTTGGCCATTGTAATCAGCAAGTCTACAGATGAATTTGTCCTGTTAAACATCAGATCATGTTTTATTATCAACAGCTGTATGCAATAGGTTCTAATGTAATCCTTTATGAACAATAATTTAAGTTTGGATCATTTGGGATGGCTGAACTATGTATCTTAAATAGTTGTGAATGGATATGATAGAAAAAGACCTAATTTACTGGACATATAGAGTTCTAACAAGCTGTGTTGTTCAAACATCTATAAATCTTATTTGTGTGTGGTTATATGACTTAATGCTTAGAACTTTCTATTTCTTTTTTGAACTTCCTATTCAATTTTAAATATGGTGGACTTTAGTATGATAAGAGCTCTTTTATTGATATGTTTCTTGATATCTCAGTGATTATTCAGTTATATACCAAACTGCAAAGGGCTTCAGTTGCTTGATCAATGGGTGTTATCATATTTTCTTTTTTTATCAGGGTTGGTGGAATCTTAGTAAATTGGTATATTAAAGATGAATTCTCACACATCTTTTTTTCTTGGGAATTTGCATTTGTTGTCTATCAGCGGGAACGGTGGCAGAAGCCTATTCTTCGGCGTTTGCAGGTCAAGTTTTAATTTTTGTATTTGTAGTCCAGATGTAAGTAATTGCATTGGTGTCACGCATAGTACAAATATGGTTCGTCAAGCAATTGTCTTTGCCTTCCATAATCTCATCAGTTTGTTCTGTAGAAAAAATGCAGGGATATTCACCTCCCCGAAATTTCTCTGATGGTTTTATCATTTGAATTTTAATCTTCAGACCGACTCATCAGGAAAAAAAGAGAGATATCTTGAGATAGTTAGCCTCTTAAAGTCAAAGATTCCATTTTTGAATTTATGTTAATAAATGACCTGCCACTCTTTCTACTGTTGGTTTTTAAATATCTCTTCAGCCTGATATAGTATTGTGATTCGGTGGTCATATAATGATAATGAGACTTCTTGGGTCGTGTCTTCGGTTGGTAAATATGGTGACATAAGATTATGGGCTTATATCTTTGTATACAAACCAGCAAATTGCTCACCGTGCTCGCTGTTCATTTTTCATTGTGATCTCCTGTTTTTCCAATTTCAACTGAAGGTATTGTTTATATGATTGCTGACATATTCTCAGTCAATCACATATTCTTGCATCTGTTTTCCCAGTTGGTCAATATTTTCGTGTAACAATTCTCACATGAAATATTGCTGCATCTGCATTCCTAATTGCACCAACTTTCTTTAACATGTGACCGGTGATATCATTCCTAATGAAAAGATTTCACGTTCCTTTCTTTATTTCGTTTTGGTGGATTTCGTATATGCACCTTCGTTTGAGAATAATGGTATTTAAGTTGGTGTTCCATTTTGTGACTCCATCAGTTACAAGTGATTACATTCTGACTGCGTTTTCAATCTTCATTCTTGCAGCCTCCTCCACCTGTTAGTGATACCAATCCGTATAATGTATTTAGGCCAAGGGAGAAGGCTCACAGGCTTCACACAAGGAGGGTATGCGACTCTGATTACTTTGACCTAATCTTCTTTTTAAAATTATCGGCCTTGATGATTTGTTATGATGTATTTTAGTTTCTTCCCTTTTTCTGTCATAGATGCAAAGGAGGGAAAACAATGTGCAGTCATTTGAAAAGCTTCGCCAGGTGAGCGTGGAATTACAGATAGAGTTCTTAATTCGTTTCTCCTGTGTGTTCTGACAACCAGAAACCCAAAAAAAAAAAATTACCAAACAGGGCTTTCATTTGTGGTTGTTTTATCGTGTCCTTGCCCTGCTTATTAGCCCAGGCCACTCTTTTATGACGATCTTGCTCAGCATCTTTCTTAGTCTGCTGGCAACCCATATTATAAACTTTTTGCACAACCAGCTGACCTTTCTTTATCACCCTCATTTCCTTCATTCTGTACTTTTTGTAGTATCATCCAATCTATCTTCAACTTCTGCATGGTTTGAACATGGTATTGTAACACCAAGCCAGATAATCACACTTTTTGTGTTTCAACCTCCCTGTTTTCAGCAATGGATTTGAACATCTTTTTAAGATGGTGAGATTTTAAGTTGCACATTGTAGGTCATTCTTGCCAATGTTCTTGGTGCCCTCACTTGGCGTCATTGCTTATTTGATATAAATTCTCTCAAAAATGATTGTCTGGTGATATAAAAATAACGAACTAGGAAACAAAAGCTGTTGCTCTACATGATTTCCTCTAGCACGCCTCCCATATACTTGGTAAGAGGGATAAGCATCTCGTGCATGGGCTCTGCTGTCTACAGATGAACAGATATTGTTTCTCGTGCAGGGTCTGCTGTCTACAGATGAACAGATATTGTGTCAACTTCTTTTTCAAATTGAATTGTAATGCAAAGAATCTTATATGACTCAAAATTCTGCAGGTTAGGCGCAACCTTGACCAAGCAAAGACCATTCTCGAGGCTCTCATCAAGGTTTGTCTTTCTTAGCTATTGCAATGTCAAAGACTTACAAAAAAACAAGTGCAATGGGAAGATATGGAGAGCATGTTCTGTTATCGTTATTAGCTGGTTACCACAAAATGAAGAAATTACAAACCTATAGAAAGTCAATCTATCTGATCACCTAATCAGCATTTCAACTCCTTTGACGTTATTATATGCAGAGAGAGGAGAAGAAACGAGAGGTTGTGGAGAGTGAGGTTAGTCTTCAGAGACTCCAAATGAAACACAAGGTATGTGGAGTATGATATTATCTTCTTTATCCTTTGCAACTTTTACGCTAGTGATACCTACTTGCAGATGTGATATTGCTATTTGACAATCCACAATTTAATTACTTCTGTCGCGTCATAACAGGAGACAGCATTTTATGAAGTGTGCCTGCTCTCTGTTTAATAATCATTGCTTTCTGAGTTATATGAAATTGAGACTTTATTAGATTATATGTGCTGCTATGAATTAACTTCAATTGTAGTACTGGAGGAGAACATTTCAGTAATCCATTAAAAGTTGGTTGTGAAGAATGGGCTGGTGGAACTAAACCATTTTGGATAGGTTAAAGTGGAGTAACTCTTTATGGCAGTAGTATCGTTGATGATGGGGTAGATCTTACTTAGCTAACTGCCCTTTTGTCAACTGCCATATTACCATGGCCTCTTCAATTCAATGTCTTTTAGCACCATAACTGCTTCTCCGCTCTTCATGGTATAAGTTCTCTGCGGTCATTTATGTGGGAATGTGGTTTAATTCTGAATTGATAGTAAGACTTTTTCGGTTGTCAGAATGAAATTGAGCTTTTTGAGGACACGTTGGCTCTGCCTGGATTTCCTTCGTTCCCAACTAAGGTTGGTTCAAGTGAGGAGGAATACATGGACTCGGATGACGCTGCTATTAGCCGTCCACATGCTCAGTCTGCTGTCTCACCAAATCTTTTCTCTGACTCAAAGCCAGTAATGGCTTCTGCTGGAAGCATGAGGCGCGAGCGAGAGTTAAAGAGGCGATATGTCCCATATGGATGGCTCCACAAATTGGTGCGTACCTACTCTCTAGTAAATTTATTCCTTTTTTACTCTCTCCTCTACAGTCATTCATATGTTTGTATATGAGTTACTCGTATTCCTTTTCACATAAGCACAACACAGCATAGAAGATAATGCAGTTGTAGTACTAAACTAATTATCAGACTTCGCTCTTATGGGTTTGATGTAGGATCCAACTGAGCCACTTCTCCTGTTCACTAAACCTCTTGATCCAGAGAATATGGCAGCTGCGGGTATTTTACCTCCAATGGGAAATGGTCTGGCTGCATGCACATTTAACTCTCGTGGAAGGATTGGCCGAGGTGGCAGAATAGTGTTTGATAGATGGAACCCACTTATGCATACTCCAATTGATTGTGGTGATGCTTTATATGTTCCACCAAAGGGCCGGCATTCTGCTCATCCCTGATGTAATCAACCTTTCCCAATCTTCATTTGTCCATCCAGGTTAAGTTTGTATGCCTGAGGTAATTGTAAGGGGGACACTCAAGACATGAGGGAGATGACTCGTCGGTGATTGTCCAAGGGTTGAGCCTGCTGCAGGATGTATTCTTGTTATTGTTTCTTTTCTTAGTTAAAGAATGGAAAGCATCCGCCCCGCTTGTAGATTTTTGTCCAAGGGGATAGGTAAACAGAAAGCTTTTTTTCCACTCCTGCAGTCTCCTACCTAGATAATGCATGCTTCTACCGTAAATAAAAATGAAATGATGAATGTAACCGGGGTTGGTCTTACATTGTAAAAAGAATCATTGCCTTTATCTTCTCATTTTTTTGTTTCACTTTATGATTCGATCTTGTATAGTTAGGCCTGGCCAGTGCTGAAAATTGAAATCTGTCTTCATGGTGCAGCTGAGACAAATCAAATTATCTTGTGATTATTTGTCTGTAATTTTTGACACAATTTAACAAAAGTGGTTTTTGTATACTGACTAATGATTCTTTCTTTTTCAATATATTAACCATGATTGAGGACTTCTACATGGCCGGCCCGACTATATCGGGATTCGCGCCGCGTAGGGGCCCATTCGGGGGGAGCGCTCGCTACCAAGGATTTTTCCATACCCGGGGCTCGAACTCGAGATCTCTGGTTAAGGGAGGAGCAGTCCCATCCACTGCACCACATCCTTTGGTGGTATATTGACTAGTTGATTAAAATGTATGTCTACTGTCTTTACTTCTATCATCAGTAGAAGCATACTTTGGAAGTTTTATTGTTGCTGATAATATTTGAGTATTTCATTGGATATATCCTTTGGTGGTATATTGACTAGTTGATTAAAATGTATGTCTACTGTCTTTACTTCTATCATCAGTAGAAGCATACTTTGGAAGTTTTATTGTTGCTGATAATATTTGAGTATTTCATTGGATATATCTTGTCAAATACAGAGAAGCTATAAGTAGGTGAATCAATAAAACAAGACCAGAAAAAACTTTAAATGCAACCGGAAAAGCATATGACGATTACACACCAGAAATCTACAAATTGTTATGTCATAAAACCAAATATAAAGTACAACGTGAAGTTATTAATCGCATTATTTTCTTATAATCTCGCAAGTGTAATCTAATGTTATTTACCCTTAAAATGAGTAACAATAGAATTTGTACGAAGTTTAAATGATACGTGATTCAATTTAACATGAATGATTTATGGACAACAAGCAATTAAATTAAAGAGAAACCAAACGTGATGGGCAATTAAGCCTGGCTTCAGGGTGAACACTGAAAATTGGCTCCAATCGGGCCATCGAGACGGGCTCGGTTGCAATAAATAAATAAGCAGCTGAAGAACACTATGAACAGTAGCCAGAGAACAAAAATGATCTTTATTGCTTTGATATGCGTGCTAACAGTGAGTGAAAAATGTACGGGTTCTCCCCTTTATATAGCAGGGGAGTTTCAATCCTAGTACAAGTCTAAATAAGGTAAAAATCTTTCTCCTCTAGTAAATCACGATAGGCAGCCGACATCGGGTGAGATTTGTGTCGTAGTATCCGGTCTAGGGCGGATATTTCGGCCCCTCGTTTGTCATTTCTAACCGCCTTTCCTTTAGCCTTGATTCTTCGTTTGCTCGAGCTCGATTCCTTTCATGTTCGCCCATGTCCGAATCTCGGTGCATCATTCGTCCTCGGGCTCTGGTCTGGGGAACCCTCGGTTGTACCTGAGCCTACAATGAACCATGATGTCTCCTATTTCTTCATCGGAAAATCAGGGATAACTTTATCCTCGATTTTACCCGTACACAAATAGTACCCTCACTTTTCGGATAGTAGATTTATATAAACGACGAGAAGTGATTAATTGACCCTAGTTCCTTCCTCCGTACGCCGCAAGTGAGTTGACAAGTTGCCGAAACGTCCCATCAGTCGCGTCGTTCTGACTTAGGACACGGGTCAGCTGCCTGTTGACCATCCTCGGTAGGCACCGAATGCGAAATGTCACGCATTTTTTACTTTTTTCCTATAAAAGCTCCGATTTTCTTTTTTCACTGTGTTACTTTCTAATTTAGAATCTTCTTGAGTTACCCTCGAATGTTTTACTTATTCATCACTCCTTTAAATCTTCACAAATTGTTCTCCACATCTTCGTTTCTTCATCTTTAATCTTCAAATCTCTTTATATTTTATCTTCAAATCTTCGTCCCAAATCTTCTAATCTTCATATCAACCTTCAAAACTTCATACCGGCCTTCAAACCTTCATATTCTTAGGTCGAGATGGCAAAAGCCTCAAAATCGGTGCCTCAAAACACTGCTCCTTCAACTTCTACCACGGCTGCAGACACCGAGGCGAATCTTCCGGTAGCGGCACCGGAACCTCCTCTCAAAGAGTTTATTCCTAGAGGCTGCTCTATAGATAACGATTTTAAGGTCGAAAAAAACTCCAAACAAGGAGATCGAGGCGAGGAGGCATTGAGGTATATAAGCTCCATTACCGAGGAAATTCTCCAAGCGATCCGGGAGGATTGCAAATGGGAGGGAAAGGACGTGGTCGTTCCCGGTCCTGACGATGACATCACAACGCATGTGGAGGGATACTTAAGCATTAATACTTATCCCTTTACGTTCGGTCTGATGGACACGGTGGTCCTCGACTTTTATAAGAGGTATGAGGTCTGCCTCAGGCAGATCCATCCGTCCTTTTGGAGGATCGTGACCCTCCTCCGCCACTTTGCCAACTACACAGAGGAGCCCCGATTTACAATCGACCATCTGCTCCGTGTCTACAGCCCCCGAATCTTCCGAGGGGGTTAATTAAGCTTGCCCGACGGGCAAAGAACGCTCCCTTCTCGAGCATCGACGAGGACAGGGACCAAGGTTGGCAAAGAATGTTTGTTTGGGTAAAGACCGAAGACCTCATTCCCTCCGAGTATCTGTCGTTCCCCAAGAAGTGGAACTCAAAACGTAAGTCTGTTTCCTTTTAATTTATTCCTTTGAATCTATCCCTCTTTTACCAATGCTCACTTTTTCTGATATGTAGCTATCGCCCGAGTCCCCAATGCGTTTCCTCGCTTTAAGGAGTGGGTCAAAGGCATCTGCAAGCAACTGACATATTCTGAGCGCGAGTGTCGCAAACTTACCAGAGGCAAATGGGAAGCTCGTTCTTATGGTGAGTGTCCTTCTTATCCTAGTTGAATTTTCCTCATAGTCATTTTTATTTTATCGTCACTTTGACTAAGTCCTTTTTTTTTAACAGGTTTGCCCAAGACCACCGAGCTTCGAGCAATTACCGAGGCGTGGCCTCGTCCCCATCTGAAAAACCCTCTGCTTCGATACAACCTATTGCCGCGGCTACTGCGAAGAAGGAGGAGAAAACAATAAAGAAGAAAAGGTCCCCTGACTCCTCGGCTGCTCCCGCCGAGGCCAAGAAGAAAGGATTGTGGTCAGGGTCAGAAAGAGTACTAAGAAAAGTACTCGTGCGAGGGTCCCGGACCCTGATTCTCTCTACCGGCTCAAGGACTACCCCATGGATGATGACATGGAGTTTGTTGCTCACGAGTTGGCCGACGCTGCACAAGAGCTGGCAGCACCGGAGGGGGATGACCGTAAGGATGAATCCTCCTCATCTCAGGAGCCCGAGGAAGAACATGTGGCCACTGCCCGTCGAGAAACTACTCCTATTCCGAGAGAGGCTGCCGACATCATTGACGTCCTGGATTCACCGCCTCACACGAAGCCTCTTTTTGATGAGGCTCAGGCCGTATAGAAAAGGCGACCGAGGCATCACGGGTCTCGGATGAAACCCTTAATTTGTTTTCGAAGGCGTAGACGTCGGAGTGCTGGAAGACTACTCTGGTTTCAAGCCTAAAGCTTGTGAAGTAGTTCCCTACCGCAAGTGTGGACCCTGACCGGAAGAAGACAATCATATTTACAGTACCGTCGGATACCGGGTCGCTATCCGGGCCGGTTGGTGTGGCCATATACCTTTGTTACTTGGTAACCGAAGGGGACCAAGTGAAGATGAACGAGGTGGATGCATCGAGCCTCTTCAACGAGGCACAACAGACGCTAAACAGGGTATACTTTCTTCCCCTCATATCCTTAAAGAGTTCATTTTGCCTTAGCGAATTTTAACATTTTTGCCTTTTTTATGCTTCAGGCCTCGGTGCTTCATCATGAGACCTTCCACCAGTCTCGAATGGAGGCGAGTCACCTTGATTTCGAGGTGAAGGAGCAGGTCCGACAAAAAGACATGTACAAAGCTCTTTGTGAGCAAAAAGATGAAGTCCTCAGGGACCACTCTATCCTCCAAGCCGAGCTGGAAAAAGCTCAAAAGGAGGGCTCGAAGGTGAAATGGGATCGTGCCCTACTGGTTGTGATGCAAGATCAAGAAGGCCAAGAATCCAAGAATCCAAGGATCCATCCAAGATTAGGATTTCTTTTCCTTGAAGATTAGGATTTCTTATTTTTTTTTCTTTCCTAGTAATTTAATTCTTATTTTAGTAGGATTATATTCGTAGTTCTAATAAAAAGAGGATTGTTACTTGGTATACAATCCTTACTAGAATTCTCTTTTCTATTTTTGTTAAGATAGGTTTTTCTTACCCTTGTTCTTATTCTAGTTTAATTAGGATTTCTTAACCTCATTAATTTTACTAATTATAAGGCCTATTTAAAGGGCTCAATATGCTAAAAAATAATGATGGCTGATTAGTTTTTCTCAGCTTTTGCTTCAAAAATGTGATTTACTTTTTATTTCACTGATCTTCCTTTATTCAACGCTTCTTGTAATCTTGCGGGATTGAAAAACGTGTTGGTGAGGTTTCTTTTCATCTTACATTCTTCTAACGCGAGTTTGAAGAACGCTTTCGCTAGTTTTGTAAAAAATTTAGCGAGGTGGTTTTGTTTTTCTCTCTTCTTTGTGCTTGAGAGGTGCAAAACCTTGAAAGTACATCAATTTGGTATCGGAGCGCAAGTTCTAGGTATGAATTCTTAACTTGTTGTCTTATTCATCGTGTTACCAAACAAGAAAATAGCAAGTTCGTGATCCTCTTCAATGGATCTTCAATTAAAAATTCAGAAATTAAGAACTATAGCCCTTGAACTAGACAATGGAGAAATTAAATTGCACTTAAATAGCTTGACGGAATCAATAAGGCATCTGGCTTAATTGATTGAAGGTTTGGTGCACCACATACCATACTAGTGATACCACCGCGCCTATGTAAATACCATTTGGTACATATGTATATAAAAAAAATTCCTTCGGCTATGCATTGTGTCCTTTAATTTTCTGTATTTGCTTATATCTAAGACTTATAATATATTATTGATGCCTTACGTAGAATTTGACATTACTTAAATTGTTCGTTTCCCAAAGCGCAGATGACGCTTGGATTAAGTAATAACTCCAAATCACTTAGAGTTTGGAGATCCCGATAAAAAATGAAGTCTTTGTTAAAAAAATTTGAACGTTTTAACCGGACA